AGATACTGTAGAAATGATCAGGTCTCTGTACTACTCCAGTAAGTCATCCCCTATTTTTACAAGAGCCAGATCAGGTCGAAAATGAAGTACTGCTGCTATATAAGGGGCAAGGCGCTTCCCAGTCTTCACTTTCCGGTCTCAAAAGCATCTCCCCGTCCTTGTGGGTGACAAATTATTTCCCATCCTACGACCTCTTTCCTCACAGACGAAACGTCGCAAGCTTCTCGCTGCTCTGCCGTCATTTCCATGGAAAACGTCCTTACGAACTGCATTCCTTAGTTCCTCCAGTTCTGACATTCACGGCGAGGACCTGTCTTGCCACGCCCATTGTAGCGGACCACCCTCATTCCCTTCGCAATCCACTGGTGAGATGTAAGTTTCACTCGAGAAGCTTCTTCCTACGAGCCGCTTCTCCGTGGAACGGACTCCCAAGATGATGCTTCTCCGATGTCTACAAACTCAACCTGTTTTAGTCTAGAATTAACCATCTTACCTACATATCTGCATAAACTATGTCTCTTACTCTGCAACCCTCTACCTTGAGTGGCTCCAGGGCCTTATACTGGATGAACATCATTGTAACAAAAATAAATAAATAAAAAATTAACAGTCTTTTCGCCGTGATGAAGGTGTAGTATCTGTTCTATTCTTATTTGGAATGTGAAAAGGTGCTCGGTTCCGAGAATTACAACCCTGTGGCGGCACCCTCCTCATTAAACTAAGACAAGTGGGGTCGTCGTAATATCGACGTCATCGTCACAGTAGTTGCGAAGATTGAGCAATTATTGTCCTTGGCCCATACGAATGCGTTTGAGAATCCTCTATGGCTGGGATCAATGTGTAGTATCTGTTCTTCACCTATCTATCGTATTTCTGTCTTGGAACGGTTTAATGGAAAAAGCTTTGAAGTATGCCTTTTTTTACCGGAGATTCTAAAACTGCACCATTACACCAGTGAGGGGAAGTTGACTGGGTAATTTTTATCATTGACCCATATTCTTGCGTATGTACACCCCACATTAAAAAAACCTTGTGTCGCATACTACTTTAGTCAGGTAAATAACACTTCCCGGTCTTCGAGCTGGGATCAAAGTGAAGTAACCGTTCTCAATTTAGATACCAGAAGGCGCCTGATGGATGGAATCTATAGAATATTTATAAAGAAATTTACACTACTTTATATACACACTTAGCATTTTCAAAAATGCGTGTGAATGACCAGGCGCGGAAGAAGTTTCATTCAAAAATTCACCGAGAAAGGAAAACTATAATCAATTACAGACCAATCACAAGCCTACATCTGATGTGGACAATTACAACGATGTAGCCTCAAGAATACATCCGCAGACTAATAATAACAAATAGAATTTATTTTATATACTACATATTTATTTTTCAACTTCTTGGCTAATGCAGATAATACACTGGTGAATATTTGTCACAAAAATCGTTTTCTATTACTGTTGTAGATTCCAGGATAAAATCCGGTCTCAAAATGAATGACAAACGCACGAATGAAATATAGCAAATAAATGTATTGACGTAATAATACAATTGGTAATACCGTTAGTAGATCCAGAAATGTGGTTAGTAGCAATAATAATATATATACAGTCTGGGAAATTCAGTATCGAAGTATGACTTCCTTCTGAGTCTACGTGCTCGCAACTGTGACTCCTACAAAGCGGTTACCTCACACTCTTACTCTCTCACTGTTCACTGTATCACTGTATCACCCCCGGGTATTCACTGGCAGCAGTACAAGTACACACTGAGCGAGTCCACTTGTATGAAAAAGGGGTGGACCCCTTAACAATTACTATACAGGGCATTGATTGATTTTTTTTTATTTCACGGCTTATCAACCTTTTGGGGATTATTTAAAACCGAAATATATTTCGGACTGTAAGGGGTTGCTTAATACACAAGGACAATTTCAGCCAGTCATATAATTTCGATGTAAATAGCGGAATGAAACGTTTGTAGAAGGGGAACTAAGTGAGTAAATATCAAGTTCAGCTTCGATCAAATGATTTTGAATGGCGTGAACTCAAAACGAAGAAACGTTGTAATGCGTTGGGCTGATAAAAGAAAAGGATGCAATGATTTCCCCAAACTTAGTTATAGAATGTCTTAATATATCAAATATTAAAGAAACAATGGTAAAATGCACATCCCACTCTTATGAAGAACGAGAAAGTCGACTCAACCATCAATATCAACTCTTTAGCAGAGGTCTGTATCAATGGAACAACCTCCGGTTCCAATCGGGCCATCAGTCCTGGGTATGACGATAACCTCACCCTGCAGCAAGGCTACTGATCGAGAGATTGGAGGTTTTGATGTGTGTGGAACCACCTCTTTATTGTTGTTCCCAGGTCCATCCTGACATGTGGTAGTAGCACCTGTTAGGGTCCTAGCTATGGAAAGATAGTGAACCCCAAACAAAAACAAAATACTATGAAACTATAAAAATATATCTTTATAGTAAAATTAGAAGCAATAAATTTTTTATATAAAAGATTATACATATTTATAGTAAAATTACTAACAATACCTATGTATAGTAAAATTAACAACAATAACTATTTATAATAAAATTACCAACGATAAAATTTAAAAAAAATAAAAGTAAAATGATCAGCGATACAATTTTATAGTAGAATTATCAGCAATACATTTTATTTGTAGTTGAAGGCATACAATTACGTTCAAAATATTTAGATTTCTGTATTAAATAATCCATAGTATGTATATAATCCATAGTTGATATGTCGCTAACCAAAATTGACCAAACCAATCATTTGGGGCATGGATATAAAAATATTAACATATAGGTCCAGACAAGCTCTCATCCAGGCTGGACCTTCCTATTGCAATAAAATGAATATGTTCGGTGATTTCCCTGATGACTGCGGCCTGCCAAAAGGCAAGGCAGAGAGAACTGATACTATGTAAAGAATTATTGCATGACTAGCTTAAAAGCTATCCTATCGAGCGACATATAAGCTAGCTCCTGCGGAGGGATCTTGGTTAGGCTTTCATTACAATAGGTAGTGAGGAGTAGATGCGATAGGCAACAATAAACTAGAGAAGAACTCAAAATTGATTGCTGCATTTAAGTATTGCATTAATATTTAAGCTTTACTTTTCAAAAGTTCAACAATAATTCTTTGGCCGCCACTTAATTTAAAGACAATTAGATGTACGTAGGTCCTTACTTTCCGTACAAACAATTATTTTGATTTCATGGGTGACTTTCGCTGGATTTCACAGTTATAAAAATTATCTTACAAAAAAATTTGTCGCAAAAAAAAAAAAAATCAAGTAAAAACATCACCGAAAACAATCGCAGTAATGAACACTTGGGAATCCAAAATTTCAGGATTCCAGCCCGGAATGTTTTTAGTTTGCTCACGGAGTCGGCCTGATTCCAAAATGGTACAATATGTTGGTCTACGGCCTCTAGGAGTAAAGTTGAAAAAGCGTGACACAGTAACACACTGACATTCGCATTTATCATATAGACTAAGTACCTTGACGCGGTGAATAGGCTGCTCTGAAAGAGCTATGCTGCCGGAAGTACCTAGCAGTTCAAATCTAGCCAAACAGGTCAATGGGTAGGAACCGCGTGAAGCCATTGTTACTCACAGGCCTTACAAATCGGTTTGATATGCAATAATTGACGGCGGAAAATGGGTGACTCTGTCAACTCCAACGGCATGGATCGACTAACACTAGTTAGCTGAATACTGCGGTTTCTAGTAGAAGTTGCGACCATTAATAGTGAATTGTACTTACAGTGTAGGCGTGAAATCTGTTGAAAGAATGAAATAGCTAATAAATCCAGATTTTCGTACCAATTCGCGTGGGTCAGTTTCCTAGAATTGCTCTGATGAACTTTCCTCTACTGTACTTAGACTTTATGAATTTATACGCAGTACTAGATTGGCGGCAAGGTCTCATCAATGTACGGCCAACTTGGTTAGATCTAACCGTCAGTTTCTTCTCTCGCACTTCTCACTTCTGGAAGTCTCTTGCTTTCCAGCCAACTTTGATCTTCAATTCAATGTCCATCGTTATCTACTGTCTTCTTGATTCCTTTTCTTTTATTGTTCCCGCTCCTTAATAATGTTTTTCTTTTTCTTATTCTTTCACAGTCAGTAATTCCTATGTGTCTTAGTGGCTTTATTGCCTTGCTTGAGGTTAAGTGATTAAAAAAAAAAGGTCAAGACGGGATCGGAAATGGCGCTTCTGTGAGGCAGAGAAGATAAAATAAACTAGTTAAGGTCGTTAGAATAATAATAATAATAATAATAATAATAATAATAATGATGATGATGATGAATTCTAACCTTAGCATAGACAAACTTCAGTTCAAAAGCGTTTCCGGGTCCTTGTGGGTGATGAATTATTTTCCACCTTCTAACATCTCTCTCACAAGCCTGATGCGGTAAGTCTTACACTGTTCTATCGCTACTACCATGGAAAGTGCTCGGACGAACTGCAACTCCTGGTTCCACCGGGTTTGACCTCCACGGCTAGGATCCGCCATGCCACTTACATAGCAACAAACTACCCTCATTCCTTGCGTATTCCACTGGCAAAAAATTCCACTTAAACAGCTACTTCCCGCGAAACACTGGCCTGTGCAACAGACTCCCAAGAGGATGTTTCCCCGATCACTACAATCTTAACCTGTTCAAGTCTAGAGTCAACAGATATTTTCCTTCCTATCCATATGAACTACTCCTTAATGTAACCCTCTACCTCGAGTACAGGGTGAATCTTACTGTAAAAAAAAAAAAAAAAAAAAAAAAATAGAAAGTAAACGAAAAAAAGTGCCACGTAACCCAGTGAGAATCTTATTAAAAAAAACCCCCAAAAAACAAAAAAACTAGTAAATATGCTAAACAAGTTAATATTTGTATAATCTTACATGAGGTTACAAACGTAAGGCACTAAGAATCGAACCCGTTGCATCAAGATGTATACGCGAGATGAGATTGCTTACCTGTTGGTTCCAGATCGAGGCTCCAATGCTGGCTATTGGAGCGACTGCTTCTTTAAACGCATCGATTCTTACGATTTTCAAACCTCTCACCAAGCCTCGCACGGCACTCCAACTATTACCTGCCTCTACCAGGGCTATCACTGCTATTACTGCTGCTCTTATTTATACTGCCGACCAATACTCGGGTCAGTGTTACTGCTATTTCCTTTCTGAACGCGCGTTAAAATCGTACCACTGGCATTCAGCGACAAACATCTAATCTCTTCATTGTTTTCATACTAGCCATTTATATCTATGTCAGCCTCTTCATTATCTATCTATCTATCTATCTATCTATCTATCTGTCTCAATCTTTTCAATCTTTTTATATTTATCTGTCTACTGTTTGTTAAAATATATCTATCTCAGTATGCTCATATGTATCTATCTCTGTTTGTTAATATCTATCTATCTATCTATCTATCTATCTATCTATCTATCTATCTATCTATCTATCTATCTATCTATCTAAACCTGTTCATATCTATCTATCTATCTATCTATCTATCTATCTATCTATCTATCTATCTCAATCTTTTCATATTTATCTGTCTACTGTTAAAATATATCTATCTCAGTATGCTCATATCTATCTATCTCTATCTGAGTTTGTTAATATCTATCTATCTATCTATCTATCTATCTATCTATCTATCTATCTATCAGCAGTTTGTTCATATCTATCTATCTATCTATCTATCTATCTATCTATCTATCTATCTGCTTTAGTGGTGAGGAGGGTGGCCAGAAAACCAGCGGGATTTAAAACGAAACCTACCAAATGGAGGATGGAGTCAACGGCCATCTAGAGCAATGGGGTGGACTGGGCTGCATTCCTAAATACGCAACTCGTGCAGTGATGACAGGGTACTCTAGGTGGAAGGCTTCTTAGACTGAAGTTAACGGTCAGGACAGAGAGCTTCTCCAACGGGATCAACAGACACGTGTCCATGATCAATTTGAGCCTTCAGATTGGCGGACATCGGCTGCTGTTTAACCCAAAGAAGGGTGACACTTGGCCAGGTCTACTTGCCCAAGACTCGCTACACGCGAATGAATACCTCTCCGGCTTGCCACCCAGGTTTGTGGAGGAGGTGTCCAGCTGCACAGTGACCCTACGAGCACACCCGGTTATGTGACTGATGATGATAATAATAATGATGATGATGAGAGGGCCCTCTTTAAAAAAATAATTTGATCTTTCAATTTACCATTTTGTTCCGCTATATTTTTCCGTTTTTAACCAACTTAATAACTCTATTATAACAGCTCTATAAATAATTTTTATGGGATGCTTGTTGAGATCATTAAGTGATTATGTACTATGCCCTGTGTATAATTAGTGTGCGTCTATTTTTTTTATTTTTTTCTATCGAGTTCACCCCAAGAAAGGCACTAAAGCCACTAAGACACAATGGGTGTGAAAGAATTAGAAAACAGAAGCATTACAAAGGAACGAGAACAAAAGAAGACGAATCAGGAGGACAGTAGAATGCAGTAGAATTGATACTGCATTTAAATTTTTGAAAATTGAAGTTGACTTGGAAGCATAGAGCTAGAAAAGCGTTCCTCAAGCGGGAAGTGCGAGAAAAGAAATTTACGGTTATATTTAGATAGTTCAATTGTAAATTGATGAGAATTTAAATAACTTGTCTTGGGATCCCTGCATAAGTATTTGTACGGGTGGAACCTTGTCTGTTTTCGAAAGTGTAAATGGATTTGTTGTGCATGCGCAAAAAAAAAAAAAAAAAATCCAAAAATTATTTTTACATACTGTTTTACATACGGAAACCATACTGTTTTTCTAGAAGTGCTAACGTCAAAATTATTAGTGCCTGAATTGCAAAAAGTCCTAAACGAAACTATTAAAAAGGTTAATTATATCAAGAAAACAGACCATTACAATGAAGATTATTTGCAGAACGATGTTCCTTATAGCTTGCTTCCCAAATGCAACTTTCATTTCATACAAAATTGAGATGGTTATCTCGAAGAAGAGGTCTATCAGGATTTTATCAATTGAAAAAAAAAGTATCAACATTTAAAAAAAAATGCAACATTCTAAATTAGACGATTTAATTTGTGATGAGATTTCGTGTAATAAAGTTGCATTTCTTGCAGATTTATTACAGTATTTGAACACATTTAATAAGAGTAGGCAATGAAACGATGAAATAGTCTCACGTCTGCAGATAAATTTAATTCTTGCAGAGAAAAAAAATTCCGCTCTGGAAGGAAAGGTTTAAAAGAGAAAATGCAATAAAAATATTTGGACTCGTGAAAAGGTGTAAACTGGATAAAAAATATTACTGAAAAAACATTACAAACTTTAGATTTATTGTCAACAAATGTTGAAAAAAATATTTTCCTTCAACCTTCACCTGACATAAGATGTCTGGATTGAGTGAGAAATCTCCTTGTTTGACGTGTGTTTACGTCAGCCAATTTAAATATTACAGAAAAGGAAGAATGAACAGACATAAGAATTAACAGAGAATTGTAATTAAAATATTCAACAACAGATATTACGTTGTTCTGCTTCTCCCTTCAGGGGTGAATTTCCAAATATTACAAAAAAAAAAAAAAAGCCATAGAAATATTTCTTCCATTCTCAACGTCATATTTGTGCGAAGCAAGATTTTCTGCAATAAACAATATTAAAACCAAAAATCGATGACGGCTAGTATCTTTGGAAGAAAATTTCAGAGCCTGCCTGGCCAAAATTCGACCTTGCAAAGAAGGTATTCTGAAAAAAAAACAAAAAACACCAAGATCAGATATCTCTTTAAATATTAAATTATAATAAACAGAAAATATAAATAAATATAAGTTTTATTAAGAATTTTAATTATCATCTTTTTACTACAAATTATAATAAATTGTTTTGTTTGTGTTATAAATGAATCATAAATTAATTATACGAGTACATAATATATAAAAGAAAGCTTTTCTGCGCTAAACAATATTAAAAACAATCCTGGGTATCCTGGGTATGACGATAAACTCTATCCGACAGCAAGGCCTCTGATCGGGAGATTTTGAGGTCTATGGAAGCACCTCTTAATTGCTGTTGTTCCCAGGTTCAACCTGACCAGGGGTGGTAGCACCTGTTAGGGTTCCAGCTCTGGGAAAACATTTAACCTCCAAACTATGAAAGTATAATAATAGATTTTTATAGTAAAAGTACCAGGAATATATTTTTGAAAAAAAAAAATATATTACCGGTTATAGATTTTTGTAAAAGTAATTATTAATGCTCCCAAGAAAATTAAATTTTGGTATTAAATGACCCATAAGGTGTTGATATGCCATTAAACAAATAAACGAATTTATTCTAAAAAAATTGACGGCATTAAATAACCTGTTGACATTGATATGCCGTAAAACAAAATAAACCCAAACCCCAGAATCCTTGGCAGAAAATTTAACAATATGCCTGTCCAAAATTCGACCATGTAAAGAAGATATTCTGAAAAAAAAAAAAAAAAAAAAAAAACACATCAAATTCAAATATTTCATTAAATGTTAAATTATAATAAACAGAGAAACAAATAAATATAAATATTTTTCAAAAAATTTTAATTATCATCTTTTTTATTACAAATTATAATAAATTGTTTTGTTTGTGTTAATAAATAATTCATGAAAAAACACTTTTTTTCTACTTTTGATCATTATAATTTAAGGTCCAAGTGTGCCATGAGATAAAGAAAGGTTGAAAAACATTACTTTTAAACCAGTGATTCTCAACTCATGTGCTACGCAATATTGTCAAGGCACATTTAAGAAATCACCCCCCCCCAAAAAAAAAACAACCTGGCAACAGGTTTCACACTAAATAATCTGCACAAATAATTGAATAGAAACATTGAATTAAGTTCATGATATGAAAATTTCTCAGATTTAACCTGTAGAAAAGACAATATTTATAAATATAAATGACAATAGGAAAACTGTAGTAGTTGCCGACGCGTTTCGTCCAATGTCAGCAATAACTACAGTTTTTCTATTGTCATTTATATTTATAAAAATTAAGTTCATATTTGTGTGTGTATTTTTTAAAAAATCTATAGTTTTATTTCATTTCATTTAAATGTATACCCTTTAAATTTTTTCTAAGTGTGCCATGATATTTTCATTTGTTCCTAGGTGTGCCATTGCTTAAAAAAGTTGAAAAACACGGTTTTAAACAGTGGATGATCCAAAAATGCCATCAGAAATAAATAAACGGGATGAAATACACACACAATTTTTTGAAATTTAAGATAATTTTTCCCTCCGAAAAATTAAAGACGGCATCAACGCTGAATGTTCATTTACCAATATCCGAGTCAAAAAATATACAGTGTAACCCGGATATAAGAAAGAATAAGTCTCTTATATCCGGGTTTCTCTTATATCCGGGTTTCTCTTATATCCGGGTTTGGTCAATTTTGTTTAGGTAAGTATGGGAACACATTGGGACCAGAGAAAACCTCTCTTATATCCGGGTTTCTCTTATATCCGGGTTACACTGTATAGACATTGTAACTGATTACGATTTCCTTGCCGAGTATTAGAGGAAATTGTACGTGCTCGTGTTATATTGTTAGCATAAAACGAGTGAAAGGAATGTGGAGTAACGGATTATGGTCAGGTTTTGTGTGAAAATTGCTAAGCGTGTTAGCGAAGCGTTAGGCCGATCGAAAATTGGATTACGTCGAACAGGTTGTTAAGAAATCGACGGTTTGTTAATGGTAGAGGCGCTCCAAACAAGTGGGTGAAGACGTGAACGATAACGCAAAAGGCTGGCAGTCAACATACATATGCAAGCGCAGAGAGCGAACCGTTGCACGCTCAGGTCGAAGGTTAGGTGAGCGAACAATAGCAGAAGAACTGGATATCCACAGGGAAATTAAAAAGGAATTAAAAAGAAGAACTATCAACCTTTTTAAAAATGCAACATTCTAAATTTGGTGATTTAATTTGGGATGAGGTTTCGTGTAATAAATCGGCATCTCTTACAGATTTTATTTCAGTATTGGGACACTCTTAATAAGCATAGGCAAGGAAATCACATCTACAGATACACTTTATACTTTCAGAGGAAAAATACTGCTCTGGAAGGGTTTGGTCGGGTTTGTTTAGCGGTATATCGACCCCTTATGGGCCATTTAATGCTGAAATTTATTTTCTTGGGAGCATTTCATTTACAAAAATATATTACTGGTAATTTTTTTTTCATCAAAAATGTATTACTGGTATTTTCACTATGAAAATCTATTTTTATACTTTCATAGTATTTTGACCCTCTGTTTGGGTTAGCTGTTTGCCCATAGTTGGGACCCTAACAGCTACTACCACACTGAGTTAGGGTGGACCGGGGAACAACAGCAATTAAGAGGCGGTTTCACGCTTCTCAAAACCTCCCAATCAGAGACCTTGCTGCCGGATGTAGTTTATCGTCATGCCCAGGACAAGGCTCTGGAAGAAAAAGATTAAAAGAGAAAATGCAGTAGAAATATTTGGAGTAGCCAAAATTTTACCAGAGGAATTAAAAAAAAAATGATGAGGTAAGAGTTCGCGTGTTCCTGGTTAAAAAATCCATAAGAAAAATGAGCAATTCAAATTCTTCAACAGACTTACCACCAGTCCCACTGTGATTTTTGGCTGTTCCCAAAATTAAAAGAAAATGCCCGGAAACGACAAACGATTGATAAGTTTGCAAATCGCCCGGTTCTGCTCCTTCC